TCCTCACACAGTTTGTCGCATGCAGGGCGTCTAGAAGCCGCGAGGCTACGACAAACCAGCCCAGTTGAGACCCTGAGCACAGAAATCCAGTCGCATTTTACGGTCCAAGTCAAATGAGAATGTAGAATCACATGGTCATTATATAAGTCATTGGTGTAAGAGGCAGCCGGGAAAATTCTCGAACAGACTCACCGACATCGAAGTGGTTTGGTCACCGGCCCGAACCAGGTCCCAAAACAAGTAGCATTTCTGCCAACTTCGAGTAATGGCGGCAAAATAGGCTAGAGTGGCCGAAAAAGTTATTGAACTGGAAACGCGACCTTCATGGAGTAGGTCTCAGAAGTCGGTGACAATCGAAAGCCCCACAAAATTATCCACGAATTTAGTGAATGGGCCCCTGCAGTCGGTGACTCTGCCCGTAACGTGAATGGTGGTTTTTCTGCTGGGAACTCGGGTAACATCGAGCGCTAGCATGGGTACTCCGAGAAGCTGAACTTCGATGGTCAATTCATCGCACCCTCGCTCTCCTCTATAGCAGAATTTCATCCCTCCGTAGTCTATGAAATATCATGTGATTACTCTCAGGGTAGTCGCCCATGCAATACGAAGGCTCCAAAGCAACAAGGCCGGAAAGGACGGTACTTCCACTGAAACCTACAAGGTTTCTGTCGGACGTGTGGTGCTCTTCCTCCTCGAGGCGACTGAGCAAGCGTGTGGAGATGGGAGGTTAGACAAAGTACGAGGGGTCACTGCGGTCGTCGCTATTGTGATTTTCAGGCGATTTCGTAGTGTACGTGATTCGAGGACGCGATTCAATCAGGCCGGATTTCGAACTGGGCATAAATTCGCCGACCAGATAATCGCATTGAGACGCATTCGTGAATTCGACATGACTGTCAGCAACCGGCGCCGCCTGCCCCGTTGCCTTTGACGCAGCGTTTGATTCCGTCCATCGTTAGTCTCTGTAATGAACGACGAATCTGGTCTGAGTTGGTTTGGGCACGTACTTCATCGTTCACATCATAATCTTAGCATGGCTGCCCTCGACATGGCTCCGTTGCACACCTGCATGTGTCGAAGTAGAGGCCAATTTCAGAACCCGTCCGAAACAGCCCACCAAGACATGACAGTGATTCTTGGAACCTTCGGTATTCTTTCTCCGTCACTATAGGAGATAATGGATCCAACTCTGCAGATCGGCCAAAGCAGATTGTCACGCGTAATGGTACTATTCGCGACAACATGGAGACCGGCCAGACCAGGCACGGTTGCAGCTGTATCACATCAAGTCAAGTATGGTTTAACTAGTCCCGATCTTCGCCGCTCATGAGGGCAGCCTAGGGTTGGCTACAACCGCATATAGCAATCAACTCCACTAGTCAGTCACTTAGGATAATCATGCTACCAGAAGATTCGTTTTGTAAAGGCGACATTGGTTACCAGAAACAACACACATGTTCTTTCTAGATATTGAGTGCCATTTCAGCCCAAAATCTCATTCAGGCTGACCAAAAACAGTTCTAGCTTAATTATATTAGATTCACAGGACTCAGGGATTTCCTTATGTAACAATAATGGTTAATAATCCAGTTTGCGTTAAAAATAAATCTTCTGCAATAAGGAGTCCAACATTCCTCTAACGAATAAGTCAGTTTTTCTGATTACCAAAAATAAGAAACTACCGGGGGCATTCGTGGGTAATATCAAGGCATCGGTCTCCTAAAGGAGCTTTATTTTTGCTAGTCCATGGTAAATCCGTTGTTTCGACCTGCCTAAGACTACCATTTCGCACAGATTTGGGTCTAAAAACAATATGCCCTCTGACGGCGGAAGTCACTACTATCGACACCTTCAGTATCTACCTTTTTTTGAAAACCCCTTTACTGAAGCACTTCTACGCGAATATGAGAGGGGTGGCGGCCAAATCACGTGATCTCTCCCAGCCCTTTCTGGCAAGTGCTCGCATTGCTCGTCTAGCTTCCGTCGCAGCTGCTTTCATGTGTGAACCAATCAGAAGTGACATTTGATGAGATCGCTGGTGCGTGTACGCACGAAGAACAATCCACACACAACCAGCTTCCTAATTAATGCCAATCAAGCAGAAAACACATCGTACTCGGGGTTTCGTACCAGTAAGGAAAAAACAGAAAGCATATTCCACCCCACCTAACGACTAATTGTTGAGTGCTGGGGCCGACATTTTATCAGAAATGCACCCTGCCGCGCGTTCGTTTGGATGCTGCTGCAGGCAGCGACCCATCGGGGGTTGCTTCGGCTATGGACCTGCGGTTATGCCCATGACCTGTATGGTTCCAATGTTCTGCTCCCCTTATCCCATGGTCTACGACACTCCAGGATTAATGCCCCTACAAGTGGAACAAATGCCCTGTCAGGAATGTGATAATTTAGCCGAAACCGAAATGCAGGAAATGATCAGGAATCAGGATTATCGTCGAATGACAGAGTCTACTGATCGCAGGAACACTTGGAGAATGACTAACGGCACTATCAACACAGTCAGTGATTTTGAGGAGACCCAGTGGATTCCGATCGACGATACGTCAGTCTTTCAAAACCATGAGTTAATGTTCAAACGTACTTCCTCCTTTCAAAAGAGCGTGGAGCTACCCAATGGCTGCATCATCAGTCTTAATGTCTATAAGCCCCAGGAAACAATGGTCAAGGATGATCGACAAACCCCAAACTCAGCCCAAATTAATCAAATTCAAATTTCAGGCAGAGTTAGACAGTGGAGGAGGCTGGAGAAGGTGGCTGAAGAGGTTCCTTTCGAAGAGGTAAGTCCGAAGCCTTTCGTGTGGTTCTACTATCCATAAGATACGTAAGCTTTTTACCGTTTTGTACTCCCCTGGGCTTGCTCCTTTCTTTTATGAAACAGCTGCCTGAGAGCGACTGTATGTATATTGACCATTTTTGGCATATGTTTTCGATCCATTAATCTTTTGCACAAGTTTGCGTCTTCTCAGTACTTTAACAAAAAAAGGTCAGAGACACTCTAGACAGCCAAAATATTGAAATCATTAGTCTTTTTCTCCAACTGAAGAAAGTCGCGTCATTAGGTGAACGGCATCAACGATGCGGCGTTACTGGTGAGTTCGGGATAGACCCCACTTCTACGATGTTTCGCACGCGTTCCAGGCTCAGATTAAGGTAGGAAAGTTGGAATGAACTTAAGTATGCATTCAAACTCAAATACAAAATATACTATAACATATATACATACAAGAGAGTTAGACTACAGGGAAGAGAAGTAAATTAATACAGATTTACTTCGGGCTTATTATGAATTCCGCACTATCTGCCATCTCCCACTCCGATGTCCTAACTTGACCAAGTTTGTGCTCATAAGAAGCTTGTTTGCTGCGGAAGCCGTTGAATCGGTGTACGCCAATTCTTACCCGAATGTATATACATATATATGGCAAACATATTATACATCTACATATATATAAAGAGCGATGAGGTTCTTCGGAACAATTACAGCAGCGCATGTATGGTGTTTTGACAAGGCAACTCTACCAATTGGCCTGTACCAAAAAATGTCAACTGAAATTGTAAAATGTGTTTTTGACTAGGTAGAATGAGTTAAGCGGGGTTGTAATACTGGTAATCGTGTAGCTTTATCGCAAGATATTTCGGTTACTGCAGGATTCTGACGCTTATATAAATTCAAACATATTTAATAAAAAACATACACAGAGATATTTTTCTTGTGTTTATTTTTTTAAAAAATGATGTCTTCTTCAAATTTTATTCTTGATGAAAGGGCATCTTTCGGGTTTAAAAGAAATCAACAACTAGGAGATTTTGAGAACGTGAAATGTCCATTAATAGAGCATCGCACGTGTTTGTGTATTAATCTTGCTTATGAAGTGTACAACACAGTCCATGTTCTTCGCAAAAGTTCGTGAGCCCTAAAGGATGTGTGACTTTCCTTACACAGAAAGCATATGTGTATTTGTATGTTGACCTTAAGCACAGGGGAATCCGCAGGTGCAGTTCAAAATTATACGGGAAGTGGGAAAGTTTCTAAAACCTAAGGATGTCCTGTCTTCATGCATAAAAATACTGGAGAAGTAACTTTCTATCTAGTGAGTGCATGGAAAGTCTTTTTGCACACGTTTTTTTCTAAAATATGCTTGAATTTATTAAGCCATTGAACATCACTGGAAACTGTGCATATTACTTAAGTCGTCGTTTTTTACCAGGTATCGTATTTACAGACACGCAAAAAGAAGCGCATTCAAAAGCCGGGACCCCGGCATGGCTGAAATATTTTCGGAATATGGTGTAAGATAATAAATATTCTAACTCCAACTAAATCATCCCATCTAATCGAAAACACAGTTCAGAGTTTCGGTTAACGTTACGCCAAGTACTGTATATACACACTCACAGACACACCACTGACAAACTTGGACAGACCTGAGCATACATGAGAAAGGGCTTATTCCAGGTAATAACTGAGGACAAGGAGACCCAATTGCCGAAATCGTGAGATTCATATTCTGGAGTTTCAGATTAATAATTACACCCACCATCAGAAACAGAGACTGAATGAATGAACGCATTTTTTTAACAATCTACCCTACTTTCTCTTGTAAATGAACTCTTGACCAACTGAAAACGAATGGGGGCCTCGTACTGCACTATGCGTTGAATTTTATGAAGCACTGTAGAAAATTTTTGAAAAAAATTTGAATGGAGCAAAGTAGTAGGTCAGCTTGGAAAATTTTGCTGGTGTTAAAAATATCGCCAGTTCAGCCTCTGAGTGCAATGTTAGGTACGAAAGAACAGCTTTTCAATTGCGTACGAAAATTATACTCGATACTTTTCGAGTTACTATCAACTCCTGCGAAAGTTCGCGTGCACTTTCCGGAAAATGTATACTAATACTTAGGAAACTGTAGTCGTTTTGAAGGAAAGTAAATATTCTTAGAACAAAGCCTTTTCAAGAAAAACAGTTTAAGTTTTCAAAATCTGTCTATTTTCAAATTCTATGACACCGATAGTGTCATTCACATATCTTAGCACCCAGTAGAGTTGTTCATAAAGCATTCATTGCTGCCTGCCTCTACTGCAATGGTCTGTTTGCGTCTGGGGGTCTCTCTATAGGAAAATATAAGATTGGGAGAGCTTTTTTCAAATGAAAATGCATAATATTCAAGTTGAACACCCTACTGACAGATGAAAATGTAGACCTCGTTTCAAAAACGCAGACATAAGTGAGTGTTTTCCAAGCTTCAACACTCAAATCCTTCAATTGCAAACATTTGCAACGAACATAAATTACCACGAACCAAATACAAAAGCACATCCTAGTGCATTCTCTTTTAAAAATACAATCAAAATTTTAGGAACATCGAAAATCAGTAGAGAAAATATACATAATCAAAGTAGCGCTCTTTTCCATAGTGCAGATTACGTCGGTGGCTAAAAGATGTTCGGAAAAATCCACCATCTTGCTCGCAAGGACTAATTTAGGACTGTGTCCCTTGGCGAATGACCACTGGTGGCGTTATGTTCCTTTCAAGCCTTTTAATTCTATAAAGTATACAGAACACGATGTTGCATCCCAAAGCAGTTTCATCGTAACCCCTTGTCTCAAACAAAATACCTAATTCAATGTTTTCTCTCCTTCTGCGCCAGAGAACCCTGTTGCCTTAGCTAAACGTGGTGTCGAGCGTGTCACAGATCATGAACATCTTACACACATTGTGTTCCTCGCTTGGATAGGGGACGGAGGGCTTCGGGGGTCATTAGCGTGCTGTGCACGGGCTCCCGCACAGTCCTCTCTCACAGTCCTAAAGGTACATCGGCAAATGGACTATATTGGCGTGGTGTGGTCTGTAATGACGGAATGAACCCGAGAGCTCTCTATGGAATGTCCAAGTTGATGCCTTGACTACAGTGGATGTGGAGGTGACCTACAAATCCGGCGAGGGGTTTGAATAACTTGATGTGTTAAGAACGCATCGGAAGGGGGCAGGGCATTAACTTCGTGGTCTCATGGTTGTTCCATTACCAGCTTCTTGCCATGTCTCCTTGACCCCCACAGTGTGTTAGGTTAGAAAGTTATATCTTGATGTTAGGGGACGCTCACCGATCGTTCATACGGAACTCACTCGTTCCGTTGTGCCTTAAGGGCTCTCTCTCTCGAGCCCAACCAGCAGCCGCACAGCGGCGCATGATATATAGGCAGAATGATATTACCGACAAAGACAAGTTATATCTTCTCATTTCACACCAGACCATCATCGGTCTGTTCCTCCCTCCACTTCGGTCCAGCCGAATTTCCATTTCTGAGATCAGGGAGGACACTTGATTTCCCTTCAGTACACAGGGGGTCTCGTGCAAGTTTTCTGTTAAAGAGGAACGTTTGCAGTTCCTATGGGCCGCAGAAGCGTTTTAGAAATTTGCGTTAGTGCCAATTTACTAAATGTCCATCCTTGGAGCAATAAAATCCAACACCACATTCAGGTACCTAGATGTTCTGCTTTACACAAACCAGAAACGTAGATCCGAGGGAGTTTGGCTAGGACGCCACATTTTGGTTCCTCCATTGGTTTTTGGAAAATTATTATAGGAAAGGAATGGTGAGAGCTCGCCTCTTTGCTAAATATGGGTGAGTAAAACGTGGCTGTCAAACATCTGCGACAAAGTTACCTACGTTTAAAGACATCCTATGAGCCCTATAACCCCCTCGAATAAATTCAGAAAAAAAAATTCTCGGGCAATACGACTTTGCTTATTTCGTATCACGGCAGCGAGGGAACCTTTAAGTTTCCCGGAAGGAAGAAAGGGGCACTGTAACAAATGCACTGATTGAGTGCTATTTGTAAAAAAACTTTGTGGCCTTCAGTCCACTGCTATAGCGCATGCAGCGCTGCAAATAAGAATCGAAGTTTGCTAAAGAATAAAGACCAACTGCGGTTTAAAAAAAAGAATTTATTGTTCATTCTTCCAGCCGCTCAACCCAGTCCGCCTCGTTGGAGATTAAAATCCCCCAATGAGGGCTGGCACCTTGATATGCGCGCATACTCTCTCCATACGAGATGTGAAAATGTACCTGGGCGTTATTTTGGTTTCCTCCCAGCCCTCCGCCATAAAAACATAACACGATTGCGGCATCCAAATCAGTCCGCAGAATGGAGTCAAAACTCAAACAGCCAAATCACGCGGCTGACCTGCCAGAGGTTACTTATTTGACCGGCTCCGCTCTACGTTGTCCCCGCATTGCAGCACGAAATTTAATCTACCTGGAGTTACAGTAGGTGGGCTAACTCATGAAATGTCGACTGAAATTCCGGAATGCATTTTCGTTTCGAAAAGATTAATTTAGTAGGGTTGTAAAACCAATCATCTTGCAGCATAATTCTATCACAATTCAGCTACTTCAGGATGCCGGCTGTCAAAAAAACGTATTTTGGACTGCATGCAGGAAGTGCACTCTGCAAAAAATTACTACTTATGTAACATGCATTTTTCTCGTTGATTGTCAGTGCCCTTAAAACGTCACTTATATTTCATGGAAAACACGCATAAAAATATTCTTTCTTCTACTCATTCGGTAGCAAATTACGTCTTCTTTCAATCTTATCCTCAACGGAAGGGTTTAAGTCGGTTTTAAAAAAATTTTCTAATGCCCGAATAATTTTAAACTCGACCTGCCGTTACACTTGCATTCAGGGTTTCCAAACTACAAGCCGTATAATTTCCGCGTATGGAAAAACACACATTTCTCTACGGCATTCAGAGAAAATCATATGGCGTTCATAAAGTTTGGCAGTGGATTTGAGCCTTGTTGTTAACTTTGCAAGCAACGCTAGTAAATACAGAGACATGACGTTTTAAGAACGGCCATTTCAAGGTATTAAAAAATCTCATAATTATAAACTTTTTTAAAACCGACTTAAACCCTTCCGTTGAGAATAAGATTGAAAGAAGACGTAATTTGCTACCGAATGAGTAGAAGAAAGAATATTTTTATGCGTGTTTTCCATGAAATATAAGTGACGTTTTAAGGGCACTGACAATCAACGAGAAAAATGCATGTTACGTAAGTAGTCATTTTTTGCAGAGTGCACTTCCTGCATGCGGTCCAAAATAAGTTTTTTTGAAAGCCTGCATCCTGAAGTAGCTGAATTGTGATAGAATTATGCTGCAAGATGATTGATTTTACAACCCTACTAAATTACTCTTTTCGAAACGAAAATGCATTCCGGAATTTCAGTCGACATTTCATGAGTTAGCCCACCTGCTGTACATTGCACCTCAGACCTTCTCTAAAAAATCCGCACAGGGTATCTTACCTCATCGTTCGTTTACACTACTGGTCAGGTGCCGAGGTTTTACAAAATCTGCGGCTTTTTGCCCCTAGGTTAAATGCTAAGAGGAGGTTCAGTAATGATGTCTCGTGGAATGAATTTGTCTGGAAGTCGCCTCCTTATCGCATCGTACTTTCATCTAAAACATATTTAGCCAGTGCTAACGATTGCCCAACGCAGGCGTAGGCCTTCAGCCTGGGTCTGCAGCCTACGGCACGTTAAATAAGGGTTCGTAGTTTTTGCGCATCCTGAGGTCCAAAAGAATAAGCCCACAACTGCTGAAATGACTCTTGCATCCCCAAGTAAACTAAATGAGAAAAAAACATTTTAACAAATCCAAACCTCAGCAACAGCACCTTATTCATAACCTTAAATAAGTCACACCTGCTCGTTCGAACAAGGCGGTCACCTGGTCCCCAAGGCGGTGGAAGTGCGCTACAGGACGAGATGTTAATGAGATCAGTTCAAGGCCAACTGACACGTCCCATGTCCTGGTAAAACCAGGTTCACCGAAACAAGGGCTCAGTTCTTCGACTGGGCAATACCTCCCTAACATTAAGCATAGCTTAACATCGGGTCCTGGTGCTAAATTCACCGCTCTTCAGACCGCCACCTCCAAGTAAGCAGGCGTCCGTTGCAGACTTCTAAGCCCTACCAGAGGCGTGACTTCTTCGTTATAGCTGGCAGACTCTGTAGAAGGCCTTCTTTTTAAAAGTCAGGAAGTGTGTGAACATCACCATGACCAGTTCAGTCTGACTTTATGAGAAATTGGCCTCTTGCACATGCCAGATCGTTACAGTGAATCAGTGCGACCTGCATACCGAAACGTCTTCCATTTTTGTTTTTTTTGTTGAAAAGTTTTCTCTCATGTCAATAGGCGACATATGGAACATTGTGTTTTTTTAAGTCAGTGCAACTACCAAAGCCGATAGCGTCATCGGTCTGCTGTCATGACCGCTGGAATTCAGACGTGTGCACGAGCTTTCACATAATTCAGCTGGAAAGTTGACAACGAGAACAGATGGCAAGCCGAGCGCTTTAACTTCTAGGCGTCATGCCGGCATGTAAATGGCGGTGAACAGCATGAGAATCTTGCCGATTGAGATCTTTTGTGGAATATTTTGGCAAGGCGCCATGAATTGGGGCAAGCGTCTTCCTTGGGACCTTTAACTCTTTGAACACGGAGGCTATGTCGGTAAAAGAATTGCGCCTTCTGTGTGGCGATCAAAGGATGTCCATTTTAAACCATTTTCCGAATTTAACTACTGACAGTTACGATTAAGCCACGAACTGGGCTATTTTCGTTCAGACATGAAACATTTGACCGGGCTTTTCTGCTGGAGAAAAGTACAGAACTGGGGAATGAAAGTAGAATGGCGGTTTCGGGTTCATTTTCTATCTTCAGGGAGCTACACATCCACTTCGGACAGAAAAAAAACCCAGATTTTGATCGGAATTCCAATGGTCGACTGAGCCAAAATTCTGCCAGTTGAATTTGTGGCCCACGCTCTAGTTGGAGCTGTGTCCAATCCAAGTGAACGACATTCACTGATCTGGCGGAGAAAAAGACTGGCGTTCCGCTTTGCCCGCAAAGGCAAAACGGAATGCTTTACTGTGCCCACTGATCGGTTCAGGACGGCCGGATAATGCTAGACACGAGTTGTGTTGCAATAGGTTTAATGTTTTGCGGATAATCATACTGTCTCCCTAAGTTCCGAGACCGTGTGTTTTACACTGCCATCCCGCTTCCAGTTTGCGACGACTCACTCAGCCAGACAATCATTTTCCTACTGAATAACTGCCTTTCCGTTGTGAATTGGAGCACGGAGACCTTCATGCTTACTGAAGACCTTTTACAAAGTCTGAAAACGTGTTAGCAAAGCAAATGTTCCTCGTGGTGTACTCTAGATAAAGAGCTGCCGCTGGCCTCAAAAGACGATAAACAGCTTGTTCTCCTCTGCCTGAATGAACTTAAATGGAATAGCACAAGTCCAGTCGGAGAGTGAGATACGTCCGGTTTAGAAGACCACGCTAGCATACGCCATTTAGCCTACTTGAAGTCCTGCGAAGTTATTCTGTAAACATCCGATCGTTATGAAAGTTGACCTATATGTATGTCCTGGAGGACTGTTCAATACATATGTTCGAAATTGGAGTCGTTCTCTACTAACAATGTCGATGACGACCAAATTAACAATTTCGTCAACCAGTCATATCATAAACTCAGACCGGGAAGCCTCGGAGTTGCTCAAATTAGGGTCCTTGTTCACGGAGCCGAAGTCCTGTTGTTGAGCAATGCCCTCAACCCCAAAGGATCTAATGCGTTGATGCAAGATAAGGTGGAAATGCTACCTTCTGTCCTGTAGTCAGGAAAGTTGTGTGAGTTCCACTGCCATATGCTACCATGAGCTCTATCGTTTGAGTGCTTTGGCTGTTATATTTGCCCGCAAAATGTAAATACTGTCTACAGTCATCTGCAGGAGGTTATATACGAATTGAAGCTTGTGGAAGCGTACACTTTCTGTATCATTCTAAGACCCTTCCCGATGGTTCAATCTTCTGCTACTAGAACGCAGGAGTTTTAAGCAGGTCGTGGACAAGAAACTGCTCTTACATATATTCAAGTTGTATTTATTTTAAAAAATACTCCATGTCCTAATTTACAAAATAAGAATAGCTTTACAGTTCTTCGAATAATGCTTGACCATTTAATGTCCCCAACAAGGTAGAAGTCATTTTCTGAAACTCTAAGTTTTGCCAAAATGCTATTAACCTCCAAGGACACATTCCACTTGCTCGAGCTATTTAAACAAAATATTTGGCGAGCATTGTTGCGGGTCGCAGTCACAAAAGTGAAAATCCTTTAGCGTCTGCCCTATAGAACAGACAAATATGAAGGTTGAGTTTGCCTATATTCCCTTTGACTGTCTAACCCTGGTTAACGGCAAACTCTACAGGTCTTAGAGGGGTGCTGCTAATTTTCAAGTCCATTATTTCGAAAAGTCACGTAAGCTAAGGGATCAAAGAGGTTGTTCTGGACACCCTTGCTTTCTTCCGGGAAGAAACTGAAATGCCCAAAAATAGCCATTGCCGGCACTAAAGAAGAATGTCCGCAAAGGGCACTGAAGTTTTAGGAAGACCCATTGGATTATGGAATTGTCAAATGTGTGAGACTCTCTTGAACTGGGCCCAACTGATTGTTAGGAGTTTTTGAATGTTTCCCACAGCAAAGAATACTTGAATCTTCTAACATCCCGCCTCAGGCCTTTGTATCTCTGGAATTGAAGCTTGATCATGGACTATTATGGAGACTGCCCAATGCATGCAAGCACAGGTTTGCAAGATTAAAGCAAATCTAATCACCCCCAGTTTTATTATTCGATGATGTCGTTGAAATTTGGTTCGTATGTGTAAAGTTGAAGAATTGACTGAAAAACTTATAAGTCGTACTCCAAAGTTATCTAAGCCTCAATGATGGGGAATAGAGCAGGCGAAAAGAGTTCGTGCTTGTGCAATGAATGCCTGCATTTTATGCTATGCACAAAGTCCCGCGAGTTCACGCGTGTATATTATTTTAAATCACATTTGTCCGGGAAAGTTGGCCCTATCACGAGTCAGACGCTAATGAACAAGCAGACGTTAAGCTGATAAATTAAAAAATCATTCGTCCATGCTTTTAATAAGCTTTTACATAGATTCTCAATGCATATCCACAGTTCAACTGCGGACTTCCGTCTGGCTGATTTTGATAAATCAAAACCAAAATATTTAAAATTTGTAGGTATGGTTTGCCTGTAAGACGGGACAGCGTCCGGGATAAGACAAAGGAATATGAATTCCCTAGCAGTACAGATAGCCACGCATCAACCACCAGAAAGGACGCCTACTTCCGTGTCATAAGCCCAAAACTAACGCAAACCTGACCTCTAGTCATAACCGTAATCTTAACGCTAACCCTGATCCTCTGGAATTTAGCGCAAAGCCACTTGTATTGCGGGAGACTCTTGTCCTCGTGTCGTACCAATTTCCGCTACCTCTATGCCTTCTAAGTCAAACCTTTATTGCCAAAGCCTTTTTGGGAATTTAAAACGCTAAGATAAGCAGATCAGTTTGGGTAGAGGGATGTCGTGCTTGTTTGTCTGAACTCTAGGAAACTGTCCCCAGGTGACTAGTGGGGCAGGGAGCCTTTGACGGACTGATAAAATTTAACAAGAGGTCAGAATCACTTAGCTGCCGATAACTCTGACACGTATGCGACTACTCAAGAGCCCTATTTCAAAAAAGTAACTTTGTGTTTTGGCTCACGTTTCCTCACGTGCTCTGTAAAGCCTAAGGTTGGTTAAAGTTAATAAATTTTACCCCAGCCTTTCGGCTAACACGTCGACGCATAGCCTGCGAGGAAATCGATGGCAGTTGTCAAGAGGGAAAGAGAAATGATCTAATTGACAAAAGCAGTTTAATGGATTTAGTGATGATGATGATGATGACGATGTTTTGATCTGCATGCGCTCAAGGCCGCTTAACAGCCGTTAGCTGAGCACCTATGCAAAAGCCTCTTAGTGTTAGAAAGTAACCTGTTCCACTGTTCCGTTGTTGAAGGCACATCGGATGTCCGTATACAAAAAACAGCGTTTTCAACATGCACGTTCGAGCTTACTGAAGTCGGACGCTAAGGCACATGAAGGCAACATGGAAATGCAGAAAACGGGGCACAATCATGCCTGAAGCAATGCAGCATTAGCTCTGATAGAATAGCTATCTCCAACAGCATAGTTAAGCTAATTTTTTGACCCAATTCAGACGCCTCTTAGTTGGTCGGTTAGACTTTACTTTTAAATTTCTCCTAACAGTTTTTTGTTGCATACAGCACCAGTCCGCAGACTAGGAGTTGACGAGTGATGTTGTGGGGGCAGATAACTTTTGTCTCCTGATAGTTCTTTTATGTCTTTGGACCTAAGTGTTTTTTTTCGCACATATGAAACATCAACAGCGAGAACATAAACGGCAGTTCCAGGTGCCTATCCTTATTACGGGCTTGCCTAGAAGAATCCGCATTCGATGTAAGACCACCAGGTGATGAATAATGTTCCCCCTAGACTCACGGTAGAAAATCGAAAAAGTTTGGAATTGGGTTTGTTTCAAGCATACTTGAAAGCGATAATTTAAGGTCAGATGAATTTATAGTTTCGTTTACCAGAGAAAACTGGGGCACTGTTTTGTCCATACGTATTCCTCTTCACTCCAGAATCTTCTCAAGCACAACAACCTGTTTGTCACTTAGTCGAACAGTGTACACAGATATTTAATAGCTCAACAGACAAATATGTTACAAAAGTGATCAGCGGCTTTTTATTTGACATTTTAGGCAAAGGAAAGTGTTAAATTGTTCCATAAAAGTTTTGGATCGGCATCAGCCTCTGAAAATTTTCTCCCAACCGGCTAGATGAGTCGTTTTGAAAGTCAGTTTTGACTGCGTGACTCTGCATGTGCACTTTTTAAAATTCAATGCTGTTTCCATGTGGGCGAGAGAAAGGGATGATGTCCCTCGAAAACACTGAGCCTACTCGTGTTAGGTACATCCCAAACTTTGTCACCGGATGGTTTGCCATCGTTTGTTCCGCAAAGCTGACGAGCGTGACTGCGACCATCCACCTATGGCCGTGTGAACCCTCAATGCAACGTGGTCTGTCATGTTAAAATCTTGCGCATTTTTGTCGTACTTAACACTTGAACGCATCGACTAATGTCCACAGCTTAGTCGCCCATGCACAATTTGGGGATGTTAAATTAGCCTTCATTGTGGCTTCCTCCTAGTCTTATTCTCCCCAACCTCGTAACCTTAAAACCTTCCAAAGTGCGATTTTTTTGAAGGTCATCACAATGATTGCTATTCAGTCTTCCGCCCCCCTCCCCCCAAGACCACGGACCTACCAATGCACACTTCACAATAAAGCCCCGTGCATTGTTCCAAGGTGAGATGTGATTACGTTGCCCACCTCATGGATACAGTGCTGTTGGAGTTAGAGTTTAAGGGTTATGGTCAGGGGTTAAAGTTAGAAGTTAGGGTTAGGGCAACTATTTCTCAACCACTCAAAGTACAACCACGCATTCCCAATAGCTTTTCTTTTGCATACAACTACTTGATGTCGTCGCCTGTGCGTTCCCCGGCCCCACCAATAAAAACCCCTATTGCATCGGTCCCGAACTACAGGTGGCTGAGGTTTGTTTACTTCAGGTGGGGCTACATAATCCTATCAGACCATAATAACACGAGCTGAACTATCCCTCAGACGCTATAATATCTGGCAAACTGTTCATTTTACCACGATCAGTCTGCGACAACTCTTATTTCAACCGGGCCGCGTTCAGCACGTTAACTGGTTGGTAAAACACGGCAATAGGAAGCCCCCGTAGTGCTGGTAGCCTTGTACCAAACTCCAGAATGGGTACATATTCACGTGTCCCAAACCCAACCAAAACCCGAACCTCAGCCTCAACCCTAACTCTGACCCTAGCCTCAACCCTGGAATTCCGGACAGGACCACCTGCACTAGGAAGGAGTTCTTATTTCCGTCTCCTAGCAGTGCTCTTTACATCGCACATTAGTCGATGATTCTTCGATTTGAAGGCAAAAAATAGTGGTTTGAACATTAAACCAACGGAAGTTCCAGACGTCTGAGTTTTCACCACACAAGATATTCAAGCACTTGAACACTTGCACAAACTTGAAGGATTACGAATAAAGCCCAGAGAGTCCATATACAGGGAGGACCTCGGTTAAACTGGAAAAGGGCAGGCAATTCTGCACTTATAACTTAGGTGCTCTCTTGTTTCCTATGCATTCCCACGGATCTTCGATTTGTTTGCATCTATGATCCATTGTCATGTGTTCATGACTTGCCTTATTACCTTGATTCTGACTACAGATCATTTTAAACTTCCATTTCAGACGCTGTACCTACCGCAAAATGCGGACATGAACAGTATCACCTACAAGCTTCAGTCAAAGAACCTGCATAGAAACCTCTCAAGGAGTACCTTTGGATACAGTCGCAACGCCGCTACCTCCTATGAAGACGACTTAGAAGAATCTGAGATCATGTACGACGTGCAGAACACACTCGTAGTCTTCGGCAAGGTAGAGCTCTACAAGGCCGAACCGAAGCCTATGAAGACCTGGTCGAAGGAGTACCGGCAGCTGGTGTCGGGACAAGTGCGCATCTCCAACGGCGGCAAAGCAGATCCGGTTATCTCAGCCTACACCGATGTGCCTGACTTCCTTGCCGTTCACACTTCCACCCCGGATAAGGATACCACCTACGCAGTCCTCGATAATGGCTGTCAGATCAAAATCAAGATAGACAAGAACGTGGATCGCGAAAGTATCAAGTTTATTAATGACACCAGATCGGAGAAATATAAGGTCCTATTTGACCGACACGTGGAGGAGGGCGAGACCTCTAACGGGCACACAGACTATGACATGCAGGTGAACCAACTGTTCCGCTTTTCCCGAGATCGCTACGACTTGGAAAATATTACTGGCACGATACAGGATGATTGCATCATCCTCTTTGCACCCTTTCTCAGTCCGGAGATGAAGTCTTGAACTGCTTGGTTCGGTTTTTTTTACTTAGAAAGGAAGGATTGGTGGAGAGAGGGAAACAGTGGGCAGAACCACCGCGATCGGTAGTTTTCAAACAGTATTCAGTGAAACAAACGTTTTTTGTTCCCTTCTGAACGGTACATCTTCGTATTTAACACAGCCAACACTCTTTCAGGCATTAGGCTGCAAGGCTGAAAGC